GGTATTAGTGGTAAAAACCACTATTTTACTAGTATTTACTGGTGAAACCACTAGGTAGGGTTGATAGACCCCCACTCAAGTTACACCATTCGATGCGGAATGACGAGATCTATCCATCACAAGCGCTTAGAGATCCATCACAAGTCCTTGAGCGAATATCAGCAAGAAATACTCGAATCCGCTGCTAACTTCCACTACGTGCATATTGTTTGATTAAATTGCGTTTTTCAGAAGAAATTTTTCCGAGAAAATCTTATAAATTTTTCTATAAAAAGTTCCCGAAATGATAAACTAACTCAAATGTTTTCATATACTTTTTTAATTTTAAATAAAAAAAAATGATTAGTTTCGCTGGTCAAATATCTCATTTGTAATTTCAAGACAAGTTTATTCAGATTTTATTGTACCGACCAGATTAATTCATTTGATTGTCTTGTGGAGAAGCATCTGATTCGAGATGGCACACGAATATACTGTATGAGAGAGAATCAATAAATCAGTTTGATTTCAGGGTGTCGATCACCGACGAATTCAATTCATTTTGTAGTTTCAAACTTGTTTACATTACTGTGTTTCCGATCAAGATCAAACATAAAAAACAATTGCAAAAAATTGTTTACTTTTTCATTTCTATATTTTATTTTATCATAACTAGTTGAAAACAGTATTGAGAACATTTTTAGCGCAACGGAGGTCGGTGTTGCACGTACGACGTACTTTCAAGACAATGCTATTCATGGATAGCCTAGCTTTATCGAGCATTATGTTGTTGATCTTTCAACAAATAGAAGGTAACTAAGTTTCTAACCAAACTTATACGTATATCACAGCAGAGTTATAAATTATGACCGAAAAGTTACCTCTGATGATAAATACTGATCATCAACATACGCACGCTCACGATCTTTCACATAGCGTCAAAGGATTGTTCATGCTCAATTTCAATTATAAAATTTCTCAATGATTCTCACAAGTCTCTCTATTTTTTCGATAGGCACGTCCGTTAATCGACCCAAACTGTGTCCTTCTGCAACATGGAATACAACAGCAACTACCTTTGCAGATATGAACGCCGTTGGTATATATCCACGTGGAATTTTCATTAACAAGAATAACATGATCTGTGTTATCAATCAACAATTGCAAAGTATTCAAATATGGACTAATGGCTCGTCGACTCCAATACTAATCGCTGTTCGAAACAATAGCTACCCAATGAGTCTGTTTGCTGCCGACGATGACACTATCTATGTAGATGATGGCAGTGCTTACGTAAGTGTTTGGCAGCTAAATCAGCCAGGTCATCGTCCATCATTGTATACTGGTGATAGATGCTATGGTCTTTTTATCGACACAAAAAATTCACTTTACTGCTCCTTGTACAACAGACATGTTGTCATCAAGCGGTCACTGAATAGTAGTGATGTTCAGATGACAGTTGTCGCAGGCGAAAGTTGCTACGGATTTTTGGGTAATAAGCTTTATTTTCCCATGGGAATATTTGTTGATGGAAATTACAATTTATATGTGGCTGATTATGCAAATCACCGAATTCAATTTTTTGGATCAGGACAATCAAATGCAACAACGGCAGCTGGGAGTGGAGCACCTGGAACAATCGCACTATATTATCCAACTGATGTCATGGCTGACGCTGATGGATACATATATATATTGGATCACAATGATTATCGTATTATAGGATCCACCTCTTATGGCTTTCGATGTGTAGCTGGATGTACTGGTTCAAGTGGTTCTGCAGCTGATCAATTGGCTGATTCATGGAACATAGCTTTCGATGTGTATGGAAATATTTTTATTGCTGATAGTGGCAACAATCGTGTACAAAAGTTTCTTCTAGCTACCAACTCTTGTGGTACGTAGACTGCTATGTATCTAAAAGAAATTTATAGTAGAGAGCTACCACGTATTTTATCATAAAGATTGAAAGAAAGATAAACTGTGATGTTTCAGCACATCTACGATAGTAACGAGCATCTAACTGAGATTTCGCTGATTTAGATGCGACTACTACCAGTCAGCAGACGTCGACACCATCAGTCAATGCTGGTAAGTCAACTATATTTGGATTTTGTTTGTTGTATCATCGCCGTTGATTTTTCTAGTGAATACAGCGAATATTCCTCACCAACGAGGCATGTGATAGCTTTGTATCTTCAAATTTTTCATTTAATAGGAATTTTCATGTTAAATTTGTCTGTAGGTATTTCATACAATCAACCGAAACTATACGGAAATGCATCATGGAATGAAAACGCTACGACTTTCGCAGACGCATCGACAATTGGCAAACAGACCATGAATGTTTTTGTAGATGCAAATAACACAGTTTATGTGATAAATCGCGATTCAATTCACATTCAGGTGTGGGCTGGAGGGAAACTTAGTATTTCTAAAAATATCGCTGTCGGTAATGCTTTACCTACCAGTCTGTTTGTTACAGACGTCGGAGGTATCTACATTGATGCTGGCGACATTGTGGGACAAGTTTCCCAATGGTCACTAAATACGCTCAGTAGTACACCACTGATGTATGTCGGACACTCCTGCTATGATATCGTTGTTGATCTTAACAATACCATTTACTGTGCTTTGTCTAACAATCATCAGATCATCGCTAAGTCATTGTATGAATTTTCCAATACAGTGACCCTTGTTGCCGGTACAGGATGTAGTGGACAGGCATCGGATATGCTTGGTTATCCTCAAGGAATATTTGTCACTGTCAATTTTGATTTATACGTTGCAGATACTGGCAATTCGAGAGTTCAACTCTTTCTATCTGGACAAAAAAAAGGTGTAACTATGGCAGGTAACGGAGCTCCGAAAACAATTTCACTTAAATGTCCAACCGATGTCATGCTGGACGCAGATGATAATTTATTTATTTTGGATGCTTGTGATAATCGGATAGTCGGATCGGGACCAAACGGTTTTCAATGCATAGTTGGTTGCTCGAACTCAGGTGGTTCAGCTGCTAACCAAATACTTAAAAGTCAGAGTATGGCGTTCGACAGCTATGGCAATATTTATGTCGCCGACTATGGCAATTCTCGTATTCAACTATTTACTTTGAGCAACAGTTTATGGGGTAAGTCTTGACGCATTATTTTCATAAAATTATAATTACTCATTCGTTCCGCCATATATAAAAAATTCTACATGCCCTTTCATACGTTCTCCAACAACACCCTCTCGACAAATGATCTAAAATAGGCAACTAGTTGCATAAATTTTCATTTTGCGCAGATGACACAACGACTGACACATCGGAAACAGTTTCGCAACAATCAACAACAGAAATTCAAAAAGGTACTTTCATAATTATTTCATCATCAAACGGTGTCAATTTCTCAGCTACTACCACTACCTCAACTGAGAGTTCCACGGAATCCTCAACCACCACTACCTCAACTGGCAGTTCCACCGAATCCTCAACCACTACCTCAACGGAGAGTTCCACAGAATCCTCAACCATCACTACCTCAACTGGCAGTTCCACAGAATCCTCAACCACCACTACCTCAACTGGCAGTTCCACCGAATCCTCAACCACTACCTCAACTGGCAGTTCCACAGAATCCTCAACCACCACTACCTCAACTGGCAGTTCCACAGAATCCTCAACCACTACCTCAACGGAGAGTTCCACAGAATCCTCAACCACCACTACCTCAACGGAGAGTTCCACAGAATCCTCAACCATCACTACCTCAACTGGCAGTTCCACCGAATCCTCAACCACCACCACCACGTCAACCGGCAGTTCCACCGAATCCTCAACCACCACTACCTCAACGGAGAGTTCCACCGAATCCTCAACGACCACTACCTCAACTGGCAGTTCCACCGAATCCTCAACCACCACTACCTCAACGGAGAGTTCCACCGAATCCTCAACGACCACTACCTCAACTGGCAGTTCCACAGAATCCTCAACCACTACTACCTCAACCGAGAGTTCCACTCAATCTTCGACCACGACTACGACTTCTACCACCACCATTAATATGTCTACTTCGCTCATAACGAGCACGTTTACGTCCTCATTGCCACCATCTAGTCAAGGTATATTTACTTATTGATACATTCCTGATTATATCATAGCAATGATGTCTCTTATTTGTAGATTGCTTTTCACCCATCATCACACTGATTCCAAGTACTTCTTCACTCTCGTTGCCATTACAGTATCGGCGAAGTCAAGACTTTTCCATTAGTTCATCTCTACAACTGAATTGTAGTCTGTCACTTTCAACGACTATAAAATGGATCATCACCAACTGCACTTCAACCTGCTCTTCTTCTCCCATTCAACTGCCACAAACACTTATCACGACTTCAAGTGAACTATTTATTCCTGGCAAAACACTCGTTTATGGAACTTATCAGTTCACACTCAGTGTTACTATGGCTGCTTCTTCTCATCTCTCATCATCGGCGTCTGCATACGTCAAAATTGTTCCGTCCAGCATCACACCAAACCTCATTCAATTCGGCACTTCAATGATCACACGAGGATACCAACAACAGCTCACTCTTGATCCTGGATTGTTTTCAGCCGATCCGGATGCGCTGACGTTCAATGCTACCGTATGTCAACTCTCTTGCACTTTCACCTCTTCACTCTCTTGCCTATCGAACTAGAATTGGAAATACAAATATTTTTGTCGAATCTACAATAAATACAACTTTCCAAACATTGGTGGAAATCTTCTCACTATCGACGATCCACAAGTCGATACTGTCAATCCATCATGCGTATCGCAACGATCAGGTAGCACATCAAAACTAAACTACACTGGGCCTACGTCTTCACGCATGTCTGCACTAACCCTTCTCCCCAGTGCGCTCACATCCAATCAAACATATCAGTTCATGGTTCAACTCAAAAATCGTCTCAATTCATCTAGACAAGCAACAGGTTATCTCCTTGTGCAAACTGAAGACAGCCAGCCCGAACTGATTGCCATTTCGTGAGTTCTCTTTCATTTCCATCGTATTCTCTAACAACTAAGTTGTTTCTCTAGTTGTGTCATCTCTAGTCTGTGCGTTCCTAATCAAGAATATCAATTTGTCAATCCGA